GGCCTCGCCCGCCCGTTGGGAGTCCGAGCCCGCGAGGGGTGGCGGCGACTGCGGCTTTTAGCGTTCGCGCCTCCGGGGTGTGGTACGGGTGGAAGGGGTCCCCGTGGGGAACGACCTGTGTGAGGAAAGCAGGGAGACGAGGGCCTCGGCCGGAGACCCGGACCGAGGATTCTAGGTGTCGCAGCCGCCGCAGCGACTGGCGCCAAAACAGGACTCCGCCCACTTCCTTGGCCCAAGGCTGGAGAAAACGGGGGGTTGAACAGCAGGGCGGCGGCGAGAGGGGCTCTCGATCGGGTTCGCCTCGGAGCGGTGGGCCCCGACCCCGCCGGGCCGCGGGGACTGATTTGTTGGCCAGAAGCCGCTCGGAGAGTGTCCGGAAGGGATAAGTTAGTCCCCTGGGGCTGGTGAGGTACTCAGGAAGGGAAAGGATTTTTAAGGCGGGAGACAAACGGGGGTAGGATTGTCCTCGGCGTAGCTGCCGGGAGCCGCGTGGGTCCCGGGGCCGGCCCTCGGGCTGCCGACTAAGCTCCACCCTACAGCGTTTTTTTTCAAACTGCGCGACCGTTTCTCACCTGCCCTAAAGGCGGGGGCCGGACCCTATTCCTAAAGGAGTTAGGCGCAGGACTCGAGCTTTCCGCAATTCACTAGCCCCCGTTTGCGCAACTGACGCAGAGTCCTATTGCGAACTGGGAACGGGGAGGAGCGCGTAGTTGGCGTACGGAAGGCGCAATACGTTCCCGCCAGTGGCGGCGGTTAGGGCGTTTACGTAACGTCCTGACGTAAGACGCGTTGGTCGGGGGGGAAGGTTCTAGAAAAGCGGCGGCAGCGGCTCTAGCGGCAGTAGCAGCAGCGCCGGGTCCCGTGCGGAGGTTCTCTCGGCGGTGTTTCTCGAACAGCTGCAGTTCTCACTACAGCGCCAGGACGAGTCCGGTTCGTGTTCGTCCGCGGAGATCTCTCTCATCTCGCTCGGCTGCGGGAAATCGGGCTGAAGCGACTGAGTCCGCGATGGAGGTAACGGGTTTGAAATCAATGAGTTATTGAAAAGGGCATGGCGAGGCCTTCGGTGCCGCAGCGGAAGCCGGCGGGGCGCCTCCGCGCGACCGCGGCGGGGAACCGGCCGCCCCGGGGCCGGTCGGCCCTGAGATCGTTTCGAGCGGGGTGGCGAGCGAAGGCCTAGCTGTGCAAGCGCCTTCCCCGCCCTGAGCCTCCCGGCGCCATTTCCCTTTCCCGGGGTGGGGGATGGGGAGTTGATCGGCGGCCGCCGCCGGCCCCGCTGTTTAATGAAGATGGGGTGTAACAGCGGGACATCGCACCCCCCTTTTTTAGAGCACGCTTTTTGGGGCGGGGGCTGGGGGCGGGCGTCTCGGCGTCGGAGCGTTGCGGCGGGCACCGGGTCCGCGGGAGCGAGGCTGCGGAGCCTCCCCTCCCCCCTCCCGGGAACCGGATTTGGCGGCCGCCATTTTCCCGTCTGTCTCTCCGCGCAGCTTTTTTCCCTCTAACTCTCGGAATTCTCCTAGTTTTGATTCTTTCGTGGCAGCATCGAAGCGGATGACTATTTTTCTTTCTTCTCGGGCTCTTTTGGTATCGTTTCGAGGTGGATTTGGAGTGTTTTGTGAGCTCGGATCTTAGAGTCCTGCGCACCTCGTTAAAGGCGCTCTGCCTTCCCCTCGATGAAATGGCGCCATTGCGTCGAGAAGCCACCCAGAAGAGGGAGGGAGGGGGAGGGTTCCACCGCGCCGGCTGGCTCCAGCTGAGAAGGTATCGCCGCCGAAGGCCCGCGGCCGGCGTTGGCGCGAGCCACGTTGCTTGGAAAGAAACCATTTTGTTTCCCTACCCCTGGTTCTTGTGATTAGCGGTTTTATCGGGGTCTGCCGCAGTTAAGCTAGCAGAGTTGCAGGAAGTTCAAACGGGGGGAAAAGGGGGAGCCCTCAGTAGTAGGACGCCCAGGGAGGCGGGCGCTCATTTTTTCGCGCGCGTGTGGGGGGGGTATTCACAATATGCTGCAATTGTGGATCTTGCTTTAAAAATTTTTTTTTACCAGGAAGCTTAACACAGTATAAGGCACGAGGAAGGCGAAATAAAAAAGGGCCCTGTCTTGCCTGTACTTTAAAACATGGCACGGTACCTTACTACGTGTATTGCTATATAAAAAAACTATTGGGTTTGGGCCTACTACGTGTTTGAACTTTTGTTACTCTTGTTTGTGTTTGCAATCGTGGCTGACTATTACATTGATAAATATAAGGTGTGAAGGGGGGGTCTACCTGATTATTTTTCTGTGACCCTAAGCACACTTAAAAAATAACGATTGTTTATAATCGATAGTGGACATCGGTAAGTTTGGAAAAAAGAGGTAAGTAATGAGTTTTTGCTATTTGTTAATGATTTGTAAGAATTGTCTATATTTCTAAGTGAGTAGCTACAAACTCCAAATAGGAGTGCTAACAAGTTTGATAGTTTCAGTAGTATGTAAAAAATAAATATTAGACTGCCCGTTACTTGAAACGTATCTTAAATTATTAACAGTTGAGAACTCACGTTGAGGGGATAATCTTTGGAGCTAGATTGAACAGCAAATGGCTTTACAATCAAGTGATTTCTGTAGTCTTACATATTACACTTTTAGTTTTATCATGCAGTCATGGCTGATAGTTGGGCCTTGAATACTATTGAAAGTTCTAGTCAAATTGAAAACAATGTTTTAGCCTCACTACCTGAAAGCCATATTTATTAGCCTCTCACTGCCCCAAATAAAGAGTTGGTTGGTTGCAGCATATTTGCTTGCTGATAGGCAAAAACTAGGACTTCAGAATTTTTTCTTTGTTTTTATCTGGGTAAAAATTGTGACTACCATGCTGTACAGTTGAGTAGCTTTGCATGATGAGAAACTTGGAAAGTGAGGTAACACTAGTATGTTGTTGTACATTTTGACCCCTGTAGATTCATCTGAATGGGATTTGAGTTCAGACATTTATGCTTCAGATGCTGTTATGCTAATAAATCTGGGTTATATGAAAATGGTTTTCTTAAGTTATTTTTATATATATTTTAAGTGCTGAATTTCTTAACAGTTTCTTTGGGGGAAACGTGTTTTTTGTTTTTTAGATAACTTTGAGTCACCTAATTTAAGTGAAACCACCAGAGGGGGCAGTAACAAGGAAGTAAATTGTTATTTCAGATAGTGAATCTTGAAATAGAATATTGGATTCTAAGCATAAGGAAACAAAACGTTTTGTATTTTAAAATGCATAGTTCAAGTAACAATTCTGCACTTAGGATATAGAATTGAATGAAATTTCTAGTAGATCATTAAATATAGCCCTTCAGTGACCATGGAATAGATTTATTTTTATTTCTCCTCCAAAGGTAGTTTAAGATGATACCAAGTAAATTTAGATCGAATAGTAGTGACTTTGAAACTTGTATAGTTCAGCTGACGCGGTTTTTTTTTTTCTGTAACACAGCTATGCAGTTTTAACATATGGTTTAAATTTGATGTAAGTTTTTTTTTTCCCCCCAGAAAACTTTAGAAACTGTTCCTTTGGAGAGGAAAAAGGTACTCTGCCAGCAGGTCACCTCATATTTAAGAATTTAATTTCCTGTATACAGAGAGGAAATGTAAATAAAAATTGAAATGGTGTTTTCCTTTACAGAGAGAAAAGGAACAGTTCCGTAAGCTGTTTATTGGTGGCTTAAGCTTTGAAACCACAGAAGAAAGTTTGAGAAACTACTATGAGCAATGGGGAAAACTCACAGATTGTGTGGTATGTTGACTGATTACACATTTTTGGCATTGAACTTATGTTTACATTTTTAAGTAAATCAGCCAAAAATATCAGTGCCCATTAAAATTAGTTTTTATGTTGTTAGTGTACACAAATCCTTCAAGATCTCTTGTCTTTAAAGGTTATGAGGGATCCTGCAAGCAAAAGATCAAGAGGATTTGGTTTTGTGACTTTCTCCTCCATGGCTGAGGTTGATGCTGCCATGGCTGCCAGGCCTCATTCAATTGATGGGAGAGTGGTTGAGCCAAAACGTGCTGTAGCAAGAGAGGTAAGCAAAACATGAGTTCTTTGTGGTAAGCGATTTTTAAATTAGGTACTAGCTGAAGAGTTCTTGAGGTGTATTTCTAGTCTTATGTTTTTGCTTATTAAGATAAAGTTGTTTTACTGGGTTAGTTGTTGAAGGGTAGGTAGAAGCAAGATATAGATGGGAAGAAAATTTCAATTATGCCTGTTGCTACTGGGATAACATTTCCGCACTATATTACTGCAGGAGTCTGGAAAACCAGGGGCTCATGTGACTGTGAAGAAGCTGTTTGTTGGTGGAATCAAAGAAGATACTGAGGAACATCACCTTCGGGATTACTTTGAAGAATATGGAAAAATTGATACCATTGAGATAATTACTGATAGGCAGTCTGGAAAGAAAAGAGGCTTTGGCTTTGTTACTTTTGATGACCACGATCCTGTGGATAAAATTGTATGTAAGTGTCTGCAGGGACTAAGTGTATGGCTCTACATAAAATTTGGGTATGTTAACATCTACAATACGAGAGAATTTCAAGTGGCTTCTTATCACTTAAGGGAATCTCATCTTTTCCAGTACAAAAATACCACACTATCAATGGTCATAATGCAGAAGTAAGAAAGGCATTGTCTAGACAAGAAATGCAGGAGGTCCAAAGTTCTAGGAGTGGAAGAGGAGGTAATATAATTTTTCTTTTATTCTTTTTTTTTTTCTTTTTCTTTCTTGTTGCTAACCAGACATTGTATTTCAGGGAACTTTGGTTTTGGAGATTCTCGTGGTGGAGGTGGAAATTTTGGACCTGGACCAGGAAGTAACTTTAGAGGTGGATCTGGTAAGTTCAATTTTTTTTTCTTTTTGGCCAGTGCTTGCTTCATCTCAGGGCCTTGGCACTGTCCCTGAGCATTAGTGTTCTATATTCGTGTTCTGCACTTCAGCCACAGCTCGATTTCCAGCTTTTTGGACTTTGTATCCTGAACTGACTTCAAACCAAGATGCTCAGATCTTGGTTAGTTAGGATTACAGATGTGAGCCACTAAGAGCTATCAGGTTCAAAGTTCTGTTTGATGGATGAAATGTGTTCAACTAAAACATGTGAATGGTTTGATTAGAGTATCCAGAATAAAAATTTAACTTCGAATCTTTTTCTTAGTGATTTTTCCTGACTGGCTAGTTAGGAGAGTCAAGTGATAATGTACCTAATTGCAATCAAGGATAATCATTTAAGGGTTTTTGTGTTATCAGTTTTCAAAGTAGTCATATTGCAGCAGATAGTGAAATTACCCACAACCATTGCTTGTAGGCAATGGGTAGATCACAGAAGAAAGGAAACAAAACTATAGCTTAAAAGTAGCAGGAAGTATCTTGAGAAGGAACTGTGTCTTCATAGGAGAGTGATGTCTTGAGTTCAAACCCAGTACCACCAAAAAGATGTGACCAAAAAATGATTGAATTTTTCCTTTATGTCCTGGTGTATTTATCTGAATCAATGAGGTATGAAAGAAATGTCCTGGGTGGACCAGTGCATTGTCATTCCTTTGTGTAACAATATTTATAGGTTGCCATGTACATAGTTTAGTAATGTATATTTTTAAGGTCACTGATTATTACTTTGAAGTAATAGAGAGTGGGGGAAATTTCAGTATTGAAAATGATGAACCAGGGGGCTAGGAAGGTGGCTCAGTAGAGTGCTTGCTTGGCTTACATGAGGCCCTGGGTTTGATTATCAGCACGACATAAGCAGAAAAGGCTGGAATGGTGCTTTGGCTCAAGTGGTAGAGTGCCAGCCTTGAGCTGAAGAGCTTAGGGACAGTGCCCAGGCCCAGAGTTCAGGACCATGACTGAAAAATTGAACAGGGTATGCTTATCACACTTTTTTGTTCCTTACAGATGGATATGGAAGTGGACGCGGATTTGGGGATGGCTATAATGGGTATGGAGGAGGACCTGGAGGTCAGTTACTTTTGAATTTTAGTTTATATACTTAAGATTTAGTCATATTTTTCATTGTTCAATGGATTTATACAACACTAGACTTTCCATATGAGGCTTTTTAAAATTCCAATGGGTCAACTCTTTTGACATTTTTTATTTCATTTTAAGTAGTTTAAGCTTTACTATAGAGGTTTTAAGTGAGATGCCATAATGGGTTTTTGTTTACTTAAAAAGGTTACAAGTACACAAGTATGCTTCTGGCTACAGATGTTATGAGCTGTCATTAGCATGTCAGATGTTAGGTTTTAATCATATTGGAGTAACAACTGAAAAATTATACTTTTAGATTGAGACTTCCTAATAAAGGATTATTTGAAAATATGAGCTAATAGACCTGATTTTTGCCACTCATCAGGCATGACTTCTAAGTCTCACTACTAGATATAACCTTGATTTGAAAGGGTTTTTTTTTGGTGCTTTTTGTTTTTGGGTCAGTTGTGGGACTTGAACTTTGGGCTTATCAGCTTAGTGTTCTACCACTTTGAGCTCAAAGTGGTGGTTTGGAGAGTCTCCTGGACTTTGCTGCTCAGGCTGGCTTCTGAACTGTGATCCTCAGATGTTAGCCTTTTGAGTAGCTAGGATTACAGGCATGAGCCACCAATACCCAGCTCAAATTTAAGTTTTAGTTGAGACTTATCCCAAAGGAAAAATTATGAACCACAGTAGTTCCTTCTCTACTTGAGGGAATGGATGAGCCACGTTGTTAGAGGTAGACAGTAATTTGATAGACCATGAATGAGAAACTTGAGTCTTTAAGTATCAGTAGTTAGATATAGATGACCCTTTTGTACAATAGCCCATAGTAGTATAATACCTATTTTTAAACTCAAAATGTATTTTAAGAAGCATTTGAAGTACCCTTAATGATTAAGGGGATTAGCGGGCATTTCAGATATTTCCAGTCTGAAAGATTTTACCTAGTCTACTATAAACTGTTCTAAGATGTCATAGAGCACATATTTCCCTCTTAAAAAATACTTGTTTTGGAAATGGGCATAATACGATGATTCAAACAGCATTAAAATAATAATTACTTAAAAGAGGCTTATTTTATAATAGGTGGCAATTTTGGAGGTAGCCCTGGTTATGGAGGAGGAAGAGGAGGATATGGTGGTGGAGGACCTGGATATGGCAACCAGGGTGGGGGCTACGGAGGTGGTTATGACAACTATGGAGGAGGTAATAAATTCACCTGCAACCTTTATATGGGAGTGTGGATTGGAATTAATGACTTGCTATAGTTTGTTTCAATGTTGTGAGTAGATGGCCTTAAAAATTATAGTTACAGATAGGTGTTATACATTCTAGTTGGTTTTTGTGGGAGCTTTGTGCACATACTTTTAATATTTGGTTTAATCTGAGAGCCACTGTGCTGATTTCCCAATTTCACAGGAAATTATGGAAGTGGAAATTACAATGATTTTGGAAATTATAACCAGCAACCTTCTAACTATGGTCCAATGAAGAGTGGCAACTTTGGTGGTAGCAGGAACATGGGGGGACCATATGGTGGAGGTAATTAAAACATTGAAAATTTAGGTTTTTTTGTTAAATGATTAGATTAGCCTTTTATTACTTGATATTTTTTTTTAATCTGGAAATTCTTTGGTACACAGTGTTAAAAAGAAATCTCAGAGAAGTGCTTCAGCCCATAGCTAAGGTTTTTTGTTCTTTGGTGCCAGTCCTAGGAACTGAATTCAGAGCCTGAGTGCTGTCCATTGTTAGGTTGGTTCCCCCCCACCCCCGCTTTCAAGGCTAGCACTCAGAGTCATACCTCCATTCCCAGCTTTTTAGTGGTTAATTAGACTTCACTGGCTTAGAACTGTGATACTCAAGATCTCAGCCTTCTGAGTAGCTAGGATTAGCAGGCATAAGCAGCAAGCATCTTACCCAAATGGGTGATGACTGAGGGCTTTTTGACCAAAGGCATGAGGAATGAAATCAGCTATACTAATAGCTGATGATAACAGTTAAGTAAATTACTTTGTTCTTTCAATTCTAGGAAATTATGGTCCAGGAGGCAGTGGTGGAAGTGGTGGTTATGGAGGGAGGAGCCGATACTGAGCTTCTTCCTATTTTCCATGGGTAAGTAGTTTTTGAGTTTTACAATTATTATTATCTTGGGAATCCTAGCTGCAGGAGTAAAAAGCTTTTTAGGATCATGTTATCTTTCCTTAAAATCTGGTTAGATGGATAATTTCATAACCTATTTTTTTTTACTCTTTACTTCTGTTGAAACAGGCTTCACTGTATAAATAGGAGAGGATGAGAGCCCAGAGGTAACAGAACAGCTTCAGGTTATCGAAATAACAATGTTAAGGAAACTCTTATCTCAGTCATGCATAAATATGCAGTGATATGGCAGAAGACACCAGAGCAGATGCAGAGAGCCATTTTGTGAATGGATTGGATTATTTAATAACCTTACTGTGGAGGAAGGATTGTAAAAAAAAAAAACAAATGCCTTTGAGACAGTTTCTTAGCTTTTTAATTGTTGTTTCTTTCTAGTGGTCTTTGTAAGAGTGTAGAAGCATTCCTTCTTTGATAATGTTAAATTTGTAAGTTTCAGGTGACATGTGAAACCTTTTTTAAGATTTTTCTCAAAAGTTTTGAAAAGCTATTAGCCAGGATCATGGTGTAATAAGACATAACGTTTTTCCTTTAAAAATTTAAGTGCGTGTGTAGAGTTAAGAAGCTGTTGTACATTTATGATTTAATAAAATAATTCTAAAGGAAATTTGTGTAATTATAGACTTTTTATTTTAAATAAGTTAAGGAGTGGGTAGTATAATTAAGGTCCATTGCAAAGCTGGTGTTATATTTGTGTAAGATAAATGCTGGTCAGATGTAAGTGTGTTGTCTGCAATTCATCAGGATTAAATTATCTAGATAACTTAAGGGATATCTCTGCAAGGAGAAACACCTTTTTAGATCTTTTAGATGCTGCTTCTTCAATGCAAGGAAAGGAAATAACCCCAGCGAGGTACTCTTCAGGGACACAGGTCTAGTACAAGAGAACTTGACGGCTACTAAATTCAGCCAGTCTTAAAAAACTGTGCTGTTTCTACAAAGCTTTTACTACAGTAGTTTATAAGGATGCCAACGAAAGCTGAGGGTGTAGAGCAAAATAGTTCTAAGCTTCAGTTAAACTCCTTTAGGTAAGATCTTATTTACTTTTTCTTTCTTAATTTTCCTCCCTAAAAGATAAAACTAATAACTCTTCAATGGTCTTTCATCAGTATAGTGGTTCTTACGTAGTTTAACATAGCTATAAATTGAGTTTAACAATGTATAAACTCAAGATATTTAATTTTATAAACCCTGTTTTCCAATCTGTCATATACTTAAATTATTTTGGTTGTTTTTCCCTTTTTTTCCTTCTTTTCCCCTCCCCTCCCCTCTCCATGAAGATTCGGGTGCTTAACATATCATTTTTTTCCCTGCTGGAATTTTAGCATTGATATGAACCATGGACAAGTATATTCTGCTGCCACAAAGACTGTAAAGTGCTTCATTTCAACAGCTGAGGCAAGCCAAGTGATCATTAATAAAGCTTTTCTTGGTTCCTTCAGTGGTGTTGGTAGTAAAATGGTAGGTAAAAGTTAGGCTGAAAGTTCAATAAATGAGATTTCCCATCATTAACAACCTTGTGCATTCATTCACATTTCTTGGATCAAGCATTTTCAGTGAACCAGGGTTTTTATTAAAGACATTTGTACTATTTATGGTTTTAGTTTTACATGCTTATCAGGATTGAGGCTGAAAGAAGGTAGGGTAAAATTTGTCAAATGTTTGCAGATGAATCTTAACATATCTGGTACTAAATAAATAATTGGGTTGAAAAGTAATTTTCCCCCAGTGTACTACTTCTAAACAGCTGTAGGTTGTATGCTGAAATTCATTTCTGAAAAACTATCCTGAGCTTGAATTCCTGGCTTTATTGCCTTTTTCAGGAATGTGAGATTCAGGGCTTATTCTACTATATGCGCCAGTGAGTCTTCTTTGATCCTAAGACCACCACTGAAGTTATTTAGGTTCTTTGGACAAACATGATAAACTTCTTCAGATACTTTTTTTTTCCTTTGGCAGGAAGGTGTCTTGCTGCAGGTAACTAATGAAGAAGTGGTCAACCACAGAGTCTTCAAGAAATAAGAAATTCTGTACCATCTGAAAGTAGTTCTTGTTGGTGCCTTCATTTAAGAAGCACTCTTTAAGAAAAGGGAAATGCTTTCCTGATAAAAACAAAAACTTGATTTAGTACAGGTTCTTGATAAAATACAAAATGAGTGTTGTTTGTAAAGCATAGCATCAAATAAGTTAGAGAGATAAATGTATCATGTTTTAAATTAGGTTTTGTGAGTAGCCAGATTAAAGTTCTATTTTAAATATAAATTTTATAAAATAAATACTTTTGTATCCAAATAACTTCGTGTAATGTTTACACACAGTGTGAATCTTGTTCTATCAACATTCAGTTGTCTACAAGATCGCCATCTAAATTTTAAAACCTCACTAAACTGCATATCAGATTTTCCTGGCATATTAACAAGTGAAAGAAGCATTGTGGACATTATTGGCTGTCCCTAATAAAATGCTATATTTATGACAGCATACACAGTAAGCGTTTGAATAACTGCTACAACTTCCTTTGCTTTAACTGGTGGCATTTTGAAACAATTTTAATCAGCTAGGGTGGTCTGATAGCTAGCTTGTGCAAAAGCACTGAGTATCTGGTATACTAGCTTTTCGAATGTCAGTTTTATTTCCCTGTGTAAATGGAACACATCAGTCTTGATGAACTGTCAGTGCTCGTGTTTAAGGGTCAAGCTTGGTGGGTTGTAATAAGAACTTTGGACTAGGACCTGAATTTAAGCAGAATGAGAATTGTTGGTCATTGTGACTTAATTTTACTGGTCATAAGTGAATCTCATCAATAAACAACTTGGCTTACATTTCCAGTTGAAGGGTTTACACAAAAGTTGAATTAAATGGGTGTAATGAATGACCAGTGATCTCAGCTCAACTTAAAAGATGACAAAATCGAGGGGAAAACTACAACTGGGTTGTGGAACAAATAAGACGGTTTCATTATTGGAGATGAAACAGATGGCAAAGCTCTATCCACTAGCATATTCCCCAAGAGACCTGGACCCATTTTGAAACCTGGGTTGAAACTGCTTTGAAATAGCTTTATATAAAGACTAGAAGTCTACCATCTTCCAATGAGTCTTGGTTCATTTTGCCAGGCTAGTCACATGGCAAGTTTAAATCCTGAATACCAATTGGGTCAGAAATGTTAACAGGACTTAATGAAAATCCAGAAAGTTCTTTTCAAGAGGGGAGAATAGGCGTTTTCTTTCATAGTCACCAGTCAACTAACAACTAAGTGCCACAGAAAACTGGCATCACAGTATTTTGGGCCACAAATGGTGAAAAGTGGGATTTAACACGTAACAAATTTGGTGGTTTTGCATTCCAAAGGTCAGTGCGTACGGCATATTTAAGCACACCCAGATATCCAGAAGGCTTTCATTGTGTATGTATACTGGTTGTGGATAGCTTTAAGAATGATCTGAAGTAGAAATATTCTGTGTGGTTGACTTTTTCCAGTAGCAAATGCTGTGAAGGATCATATAGGATTATGACTTGGGAAAAATTCAACAGTCAACATTACCAGATAACGAGTGTGATTATTACAGGTTTTAACTGCAGATCTTGAGGTTTGTTTCTAGCCTATGCCATAAGTAAACTACAAGATACTGGGAAGGAAGGGCTTGAACTACAGCCTATACACTGCTTTCACAAAGCAGTTTGTCAATAGGTTGAACCAGGGGTAGTTAAGTACCTGGAAGCATTTACTGGCAAATGTCTTCAGGTCTAAGAATATACACTGAAAAGTGTACCCAGTGTGTAAAAACATTTCTGTGCACTCACTATAGTACTATGGTTATGGTATGTATAAAAGTGGTTCCTACGGTGGAAATGACACGTCTAATAATGAGATTTTTACTACAGTAATGTGTGTTGCTTTGGTTTGGCCACCTCGGTCAGATTACAGCTATCTAAAGACAATTGATGTGTTAATGGTTCAGTGATAGGCTTTACTGATTTTCAAATCTACCTGCTTAAGTGCCTTCTGAATAAATAAGTTATTTTAGTTTCCTTAGGGCTTTGTGTTTTGATCGCTGATGTTTGATGAGATCAAAATATTTTAGGCTGGTTTTACTACTGCCAGGGACACTGGGTTAACTATAAACAAAAGGAGTTTTGTTTAGCCTGTGTAGGTAGCTCCAGCAGATTCTACTTTATAGGAGGGGAAGAGTGGCCTAACCACCTTTACCTATAAGTAGGTCTCTGCTTTCAGGCATTCTTGGGCTGAAGGTAAGGCTATGGTGAAATGACTATCTCCCCACTCCCCCCCAAAAGCACTTGATAGTTTAAAGCTTTGTATTTAGCACATAGTAACTTTGTCATGAGTCTGGTCAATATGCATAAATTTACCAGTTTGTAAGATACTAATTTATACTAAATGTAAACTAGATACAAGCTAATTGCCTTTGAATTTCTGTATGGAAGGCAGATGTTAAACAAATACAAAATTTATTTTCACCCAAGTTTTTTTTTACAAGTTAAATATAAAAGTTACCATGAAAAGCACTACTTTAGTGTGAAATGAAAACATAAGCAGAAATGTATCAATAAGCTGTTCTCCAGTGTTTGGTTTCTGGCCAGTTGCTGCCAAAGTAGAAGTCCAAGAGGTGAGTTACCGTGTATGGATATTTTATTTGTATAATGATAAGGTTTTATGAAAAACATCTGTATCACCTGTGTAGCCTTTAACTCAATAATTCAAGTAACAGCATACATATGAGTAAAATTTCCAAGTTAAGATCTTAGTCCTATACAAAACTTCAGTGGTTTGTAATCCAAGTAATCAAGTTTCTGGATGTTATCTACACAAGTGGAATCCACCTTTAATGTCTCTCACTCTTTCTCTTTCCCTTTTGGGCTTCCTTTTTGTGACCTGACATCAGTTCTTTGGGTACAATCAAAATGGCTCCATCATGGCTGCATTGAAGTGTGTACTGATTTGGATTGACTGGCCTACCTTGGTCATCTCTTAACATACTAAAAACATCATGGTAAAGGTCATGCAGTTTCTTTTTCATTATGTCAATAGCTTTGTTGCATTGAGCTCTCTCTCTCTTAAGGGTTTCTTTCTTTGCCTGTAAGTTACTTACATCATCTTCTAGATTCACAATTATGTCCAGTTTGCGTTTACGGCAGTTTTGAGCAGCAACCTTATTTTTTCCTCTTCGTCTGATATCACGGATGAGTGAAACCTGTAAGTCGGTGAGGTAGTGCCTGCTTAACATGCTGTTGAAAGAGTCAACTGGCATTCGGACAATTTCATCTACAGAAAAAGGAATATGCAGAGCTTTAGCACGTCTTTCATCACGGCTTAGATTTCTGTCTGTGTCTTCGAGGTGTCTACTCTTTTTCGGTGACTTTCCACACCATGAAAAAGATTCAGAAGAGGGTTCTGGTACACTTGGCTGTAAGTGGTAAGTATGGTTGTGAAGTATATGTTGGAACTCAAGATTTTCATGAAAGCCAGAGTCATTCCTATGATCTACATGACAAAGTTTAATGGATTCTGGGTAGCAGCCCCCTACTGCCCCTTCTAAATCCTGAGATTCAAGGTCACTACTGTAACCAATAGCACCTTCATCATATGTAGAGTGAGAAGAATTAGACTTGGTGGTAATATATGTGCTATTGTGACTTGAATTTAGTGAAAGGCCAGAATCAGAATCTGGTTCTTCAAAAAGCTGAGAGATATCCAATGGATCAAAACTTGTGGCCAGTGACATTAAGTTTATCTCATCTAATATGTTTGCATCAAGGTCATACAAGAGGTCTTGGCTTGTTACATTCCTCATTTGATTGTCAACAAGTGGAAGAAATCCTGTCAAATCACTTCCAGGAAGGGCTTGCTCAGGATTGGTATGAGAACTTAACTGAAGAAATGGTTCTGGTACCTGTGAAGTCCTTGCTACTGGATTTCTTCTAAATGTGTTGTTGGAACACACCAACATGGCTTCATGAAGATTCACATCATGACTTATAGCCTGGCTAAGATTTACATTACAATCATAGGCTGAAGAATTCATGCCATCACTGATATTGCCTGGTAAAGGTGGGATATCTTCAAATGAGATTTCCTGAAAAAGAACGTGAGATTTCCTGAAAAAGCAGTTACATCTGATAGTTTTTCTGCTTCACTAATAGGGTTGTGGTATTGGCTAAAATACAAAACAATGATGGAATCCCAAATATCCTATATTTGGGGGAAAATAACGGAAATTTAAGAAAATTTAGGCTAGGAAAGTGATTGCTGGCTGGGAATGTGGCTTAGTGTAGAGTGCTTGCCTAGGATGCATGCATGAAGCCCTAGGTTTGATTCCTCAGTACCACATAAGCAGAAAAGGCTGGAAATAGTGCTGTGGCTCTCAGTGGTAGTGTCAACCTTAAGCAAAAGAAGCTCAAGGACAGTGCCTAGGCCCTGAGTTCAAGCCCCACAACTGAAGGGGCGGGGGGGGGGAGGGGAAGCCTTGGGCTGATGCCAGTGGCTTCAGGAGGCTGAGATCCAGAGAATCAAAGCTTAAAAGACTCTTGGTAGTAAACGAGATTCCCATAACTAAAACTCCCCAACAAAACACTGGGCTGGAGTAGATTAGCAGCTGAGCAAATAAGCCTAGCAAAGTGGGAGGCTGAATTGAAACTGGTATGAGGACTGAGGGAAATACTGGCTGGCTCAATTGGTAGCTTGCTGCCCTAGCAAGTACATGGACCTAAGTTCAATCTGCAGTACTACCACCAAAATAAAGTGCTGCTTAATGCATTCTGTGGTATTGTGAGGTTATGGTACTGTATCATCCAAATAAAGAGTTCCATTTTTTCACATGAAAGTCCATTGCAGATTTGTTCTTGTAATAAAAGTCAGGGTTCCAATTACCTCCAGGGAATACTCAGCCTGTGATGAAAGCAGCTGAAAAAAGTCTTCCAGAGAGAAAGATGTATCTGTCCAATTTAGATGTCTCTGTAGAAAAATGGCTAGAGTTACTTTTGTGTGTGTGCTGGTACTGGGGCTTAAACTCAGCCTCCTGGATACTTTGAATTTTTTTGCTGAAGGTGCTCTACCACTTAAGCCACAGCTGTACTTCTGGCTTTTTGCTGGTTTAATTAGAGTCTTGTGGACTTCCCTGCGGAGGCTAGCTTCAAATGGCAATACTTTGCCTCCTCAGTAGCTAGCATGACAGGTTGAGCAACTGACACATTGCTAGGCTTAATTCTGTAAAGGACAACTCTTTTTTAATTCCCATGCTGAAATCCCTTTTTCTCTGTTGGTTGGGAATTTTACATTTCTCTTATCAGTATCTCCATTTCTTTGTTAAACAAGTACTCCAAACTTCTTGGCCATTGTTGCACTCTATTTTTAGTTCTGCCTTCTACCATCCTAGTTTGGTTACAAAGTTATTCGTTATTATTTTTGGTCCGGTTGTGGGCCCTGAACTCTGGGCCTGGGCGCTGTCCCTCAGCTCTTCAGCTCAAGGCTAGCGCTCTACCACTTGAGCCACAGCGCCACTTCCGGCTTTTTTCTTTTTGCTTATGTGGTGCTGAGGAATCGAACCCAGGGCCTCATGCATGCAAGGCAAGCGCTCTACCACTGAGCCAACTTCCCAGCCCATAGTATCACTATTTAAAGTGAATTATGGACCAATCCTTTGTCTAGTCAAAAACATGTTTCAGAAGCAGGTGTGATATATGTCTATAATCTCAGGAGGCAGAGTCAGGAGGTTTGTGAGTCTGAGGCTTACTTGGGCTACATAATCATATAATAATAATATTATAATAATTTTTTTGTTGTTGCTTCAGAATCTAGAAGGAAAGCTGAGGCCTAAGCTTGTTCATCTGTCTGAAGTCTGGGTTGGTGATAGGTCCATAGGAGATGTAAGTAAAGATGGGAGAAGAGAATGATTTCCTTAGGGATAATTGCTAAGTAGTCAATTCCAGTTCCTACTAGGCTCTATAACCTCAGATTCCCTTCTGTCTTAATAGTGATAATGACTTCATGTTGCTAGCTCCTGGTCTTTCCCTTAACCTTACCCATTCTCTACTATCAACAATAGATCACAGGCCAAGTATGGTGGTATACCCCTATAAGAAGCCCTACCCACCAAGAAAAAGAAGCCCAACACTTGGAAGGCAGAGGCAGGACAAGTGCTAGTTCAAGGTCAGCCTGAGTAGTGTAGACAAACCCTGTATCAGAAACAAAAACAACAAAATTCCATTCAGTCCTCTTTAGAATCCCATAAGGGCATACCTTATACTTGACGATCATAACTGGAAAGTGTTGTGTTTGGAAATGTGTACAGTAGGTTTTCTATCTACAACATCCACAAATAAGAAAAATTCTGAGCCAGTGCCGGTGGCTCATAGCTGTAGTCCTAGCTACTCAAGAAGCTGAGATCTGAGGATCGCAGTTCAAAGCCAACCTGGGCAGCAATTAGCCACCAGAAAACAGGAAGTGGCACTGTGGCTCAAGTGGTAGAGTGCTAGCCTTGTGCTGAAGAGCTCAGGGACAGTGCCCAAGCCCAGAGTTCAAGACCCATGACAAAAAAAAAAAAAAGATAATTGATAGTAGGTTTTCAAACAAATTGGCTGTTTTAACTAAGTGCTTATTTTTCTTTGCCTGCCCAAGTGCATATAAATGGACAGATGCACATTAAAAATAAAATCCATGGGCTGGGAAGGTGGCTCAGTGGTAGACTGCTTGCCTTGCATGCATGAGGCCCTGGGTTCGATTCCTCAGCACCACATAAGCAAAAAAGAAAAACAATGGAAATGGCGCTGTGGCTCAAGTGGTAGAGCACTAACGAGCTGAAGAGCTGAGGGACAAGGCCCAGGCCCAGAGTTCAGGCCCCACGACCGGACCCCAAAAAAAAAAATCTATGGCCTGTATCATACTTTAGATTGCCAGAAAATGAAGTCAAACTTTAAATAGTGGTCCTAATTGTTATTTCAGGATTTCACATAAATTGGGAATGCCAATGATTCAGGGATTCCTAAGTTATTTTACTTCAACAAGCTGTAAGAATATCTTAATAAAGTAATACTTATTCAGTAATATCTTGATAAAAAGGCAAATTCAATGTCAGGGTTACTTAATAGGGTGAAGCTGGAAGATTAGTTAAGCTCAAAAATATCAGCAAAAGCAAATCTCATTGCAAAAAACAAAGTAGTACGATGCACAAAATATAGGACGACATAAATGCTAATGGAGCAAAACTGATAGGTAGGAAGGAACCAGAAGGTTAAGAGCTGAGCCTGATAAAATGCTTCCCTCCACCCTTCTAGGCACCTACCTAGATTTAAGACACAAGCAGCAAGAAGCAAAGCAATAGAGTTGATTGTGTTGATCTGTATTAGGGGTACCCTGACAACATTGAGGGCTCTGCTAGCAGTTTTTGATAAAACTAAGGCATAAATGTCTTGCTTTAGGTGACTTAGATGTTTCTGTAAAGTTCTGTCTAAACTGATGCTCATCCTACATTGTTATGTTTTACAGAAGTGGAGGTGTGGCTCAAATGGTAGAGCACCAGCCTTGAGTGGAAACAGCTAAGTTCAAGCCCCAGTACTGGTGTACACATACACAATTCTTTCAAAAACAGTTCCATACTTCCTAGTTCATGTAATTAACATTTAGTAAATGTCTACTGTATGTCTAGCGGTCATCTAGTTATACCATACATATCACAAAGAAAAGTTCGTACCCAATGGAAAGACATTTTACATACCCAGGAAAAAGAGTAGCCAGTAGTATGAGGCAATATCCAATTAAGTGTTAAATAGGTAGGGTGTGGTCAAAGTATCTTTTTCCCTCAGCTGTGCAGTACTCAGGGAAAGTTTCCTTTAAATATGGATCTTTCTAGAAAGGTACCAGTGGTTCAACCTGCACTCCTAGCTATTCTAGAAGCTGAGATCTGGAAGATGGAGGTCTGAAGCCAGCTCAAGCTAAAAAGTCAACTAGTAAAAAGCTGAACTGGAGTTGTGGATTAAGCAGCATGGGGCCAGCCATTAACAGGAGAACATGTGGCCCTGAGTTTAAGCCCTGGTATAAGCACAACATGAATAAAGATATTTCAGTATTTCAACATGGCAGTCTATAGGAGTTCATTTACAAAATAGTATGTGGGGCGGGGGGAGGAGTGGAAAGTAAAGCCATAGAAAATACTTTATGAGGAAATATGAAACATAAGTGACAGGAACTGGGGCAACTATCAGCTGAGAAAAATGGTGACAAATTTTTGCATTTTAAAGTGAAATAGGGGCTGGGAAAGTGGCTCAGTGGTAGAGTGCTTGCCTTGCATGCATGAGGCCCTGGGTTCGATTCCTCAGCACCACATAAGCAAAATGAAAAAAGCCGGAAGTGGTGCTGTGGTTCAAGTGGTAGAATGCTAGCCTTAAGCTGAAGAGCTGAGGGACAGTCAGCTTTGTGGGTGCAGCAATGAGATGGGAGGGGAGAAGCTACATTTTTGTTGTTGAGATATTTTGGTTATTTAGAATTTGGAGTTTTTAAGAATTATACTAGATTGGTCTTAATTGCTGCACTAGGATGACCAGGTGTTTGTTTCATTTTATTTTGTTTTGATTAAATCTGAATCAGAGATCCTGCCCAAGATTTTGCTTTTTTTTTTGGCATGGGGCTTGAACTCTGGGCCTGCGCACTGTTCCTGAGCTCTTCAGCTCAAAGTTAGAGCTCTACCACTTGTGCCACAGCACCACTCCAGTTTTCTGGTTGTTAATTGGAGATAAGAGTCTCACGGATTTTCCTGCCCAGGCTGCTTTGAACCTTGATCCTCAGATCTCAGCCTCCTGAGTGGCTAGAATTACAGGTATGAGCCAATGGCACCCAGCGAAGAGTTTACTTTCTAAGCAGGGAAGAACTAGTTTCCCTTGAACTGGTTAGAAGAGGCAGTAGATAGGCAAACAGAATTAAGAAAGCTATTTCTGACCTCACTTCATAAAATCAAGTAATATCTGATGTAATGTTTCAGTGTCAAGACTGCAGTAATGATGGGCTGTCTGAGAAGCACCTGGCATGGCATTTTCCATCTTCTAAGAGAGTTCAAGGCTCAGTCTCAAATTTTAAATCCTGGGGAAGGGTCATACTGAAGTAGATCATGGAGAAATCCACCTGGACAAGAACTGAAAGAGTGCATCTTATAGGTTGAAATGCCATGTGGTTAGAAGTCTGAACCTCCAAGCTTGTCTCTGGAGCACCTATTTTTACTAGAGTTTTGGCCAGCACCTCCACAGGCTAAGTAGAAACCAGAGTATCATTCCATGTGAAAGAAGGGAGAAACACAAATGCAGGAAGGATTCATCCTTTAAGCTTGGCTCCTTGAGTTCACAGTTCTATACCTAGTCTCCCAGATAAACAGTGTGACTAGACAATTAGGAAATAAGATAGTCGAATGGACCTAGCCCCTTACTTAAGGACAGAGGTAAGAAAAGAGCTTTTGGGTGCTAATGGCTTGGATTGACTCAATGGCTGACTCAAGATTTGAGCCCAAGCCTGCAGGATCAGTCCTCTGACTTGCTGCCTCTCCACATAGTAAGCAAGGATTCCTGGGTTCGAAATGCCAGTCAACTCTATCTCTTGTCATAGCAAGCACAACTAGCAAGCCCACTAACAAGTTCTCCAAGAAATATGTGTGCATATACACACAAAACCTAAGCAGAGGAAACAATTCTATGGGCTAATTCTTTCTTATAAGTTCAGTAACCACTCCCACAATGAAAACAAAATATACTTCTCTCTGTTAGATTTTTTGGTAAGCAGAGCACATTTAGGTACAAAATTCATTTTCTGGTATCTAAGCATGAAAATAATGTAAGGTAACTTGCTAATGGCATTATGAGGATGGGGTAAAAGAGCAATAAATGAGATTAAATTATATGTATGTGTACATTACCATGGTGAAAACTTTTTGTGTAATTAGTATACTCTTTTTAAAACAACAACAAAAAGAATCACAGGAAAGTGAAACAGGCTATGTTGGGGAGTGAGTACCAGTGGGAAATGTGGTCAAGTACTTTATGTGCACATATGAAAATAAAACAATGAGCCGGGCACTGGTGGCTCACGCCTGTAAGCCTAGCTACTCAGGAGGCTGAGATCTGAGGATCGCGGTTCAAAGCCAGCCCGGGCAGGAAAGACCGTGAGACTCCTCTCCAATAAACCACCAGAAAACCGGAAGTGGCGCTGTAGCTCAAGTGGTAGAGCGCTCGCCTTGAGCTGAAGAGCTGAGGGACAGCGCCCAGGCCCAGAGTTCAAGCCCCACGACCGACAAAAGAAAAGAAAAAGAAAACAATGAAACCACTTGAAATTGTTTCCAGGATTGGGGATAAAAGAGAAAGATGGAATTGTTATGTTTGATTGGGGCAATATGTCATATGTATGCACACATGTATGTACATATGTATGTATGCATATAAATGACACAATGACATTTCCTCTTATGTAGCTAATATATGATAATAAAAACATTTTTACCTGGGCATTGGTGGCTGACACCTACAGTCTTAGCTACTCAAGAGGCTGAGATCTCAAGACAAACTATTAGACTATTTATTTATCTTTGGCCATTCCTGGATCTTGAACTCAGGGCTTGAGCACTGTCCCTGAGCTTCTTTTGCTCAAGACTAGCACTCTACCACTTGAACCACAACACCACTTCTGGCTTTTTCTGTTTATGTGGTACTGAGGAATTGAACCCCAGGTTTCATGTATGCTAGGCAAGCTCTCTTCCACTAAGCCACCTTCCCAACCCCTATAAGACTATCTCCAGGGGCTGGGAAGGTGGCTCAGTGGTCGAGCGCTTGCCTTGCATGCATGAGGCCCTGGTTCAATTCCTCAGCACCACATAAGCAAAAAAGAAAAAAGTCAGAAGTGGTGCTGTGGCTTAAGTGGTAGAGCGCTAGCCTTGAGCTGAAGAGCTGAGGGACAGCGCCCAGGCCCAGAGTTCAGGCCCCATGACCGGATAAAAAAAAAAAAACAAAGACTATCTCCAATTAATCACAAAAAAGCTGGAAGTGGATGTGTGGCTTAAGTAATAGAGCACTAACCTTGAATAAAAAAGCTCAGGGTGAGTGCCCAACAGTGAGTTCATGCTCCAGGACCAGCACACAGACACAAATACAAAATTACACAGACACACACATTTAAATTCATTCTCAACATTCTAATGTGCTTACCTCATTTCTAGATTCAGTGGTCTTTTCTGCCTCCCAGTCAGGTTTATCTGCTATTTTGTCATCATCCTCATTACTCTGCTGGAGTGATTTCTTCTGGGTTGACACTCTTTCCTCATGTTGGGAATTGCGATCCACAGTTTCATTCTGCTGATTTACTACTACCTCAGTATCCTGTAAAAGTACCCAAAAATGTACTTCATAGAGATCCACTATTTCATTAAGTAAGTACATAAATCTTTCAAATGGCACTTTGCTATTTGTTTAGTGACCTACAAGTTACAAACTAAGACTAGCATTTCATTATTTTGTATCAAAGAAACATTTAATTCTGAAACACAGGTCAGTTTTATGTACTGTCTTAAGTTTTCTGAAACAGACTTTCCTACTCTGCAGAATTTGTTATGTGCATTCATAAGGCTCCTAAATTTAAAATATTTGCAAATTTAAGATTAGATTTGGGAGTTAATGTTCTCAGCAGGCAGTTTTTACTTAGTTCTCTAAGTTGGAAGTAAACATTGATCAAATATAAATGTACAAACTGGTGGCTCACACCTGTAATCCTAGCTACTCAAGAGGTTGAGATCTGAGGAAAACATCCAAAGTCAGCTCAGGCAGACAAAATGGAGAGACTCTGATGTCTAATTAACCAGCAAAAACAAAAGCCAGGCTGGAGTCATGGCTCAAGTAGCATGCCAGCTGTGGGCAAAACGGTTGTGCCAGAATTCATGGCTCTGAATTCAAGTCTCGGCACAGAGAGAGAGAAGGGAGAGGTTGGGGGGGGAGAGTGAGAGAGAATGAGAGAGAAAGAATCCGGGAAGTAGTTATCTTATAAATTCTTAGTTGTAGTTCTCTGTAGAATGGGTTGGGATAGGCTGGGATACAGCTGACTTCACTTCTTTTTTTTGACAGTACTGGGGTTTGAACTCGGGGACTCAAACTTGCCAGACTGATTGCTCTACCACTTGAGCCATATCTTCAGCCTTGCTTTTTATTGGTTATTTTAGAGATGGAGTCTAGAAAAGATTTTTCTTTTTCTTTTTGGTCAGTCATGGGGCTTGAACTCTGGGCTTGGGTGTTGTCCCTGTGCTCTTCAGCTCAAGGTGAGTGCTCTACCGCTTGAGCCACAGCGTCATTCTCGGTTTTCTAGTAGTTTATTAGAGATAAGAGTCTCACGGACTTTCCTACCCAGGCTAGCTTTGAACCGCGATCCTCAGATCTCAGCCTCCTGAGTAGCTAGGATTACAGGCATGAGCCACCAGCGCCCGGCTAGAGAACATTTTTCTGCTGGGGCTAGCCTTGAACCTCTATCTTCCAGCCTCCCCAGTAGTTAAGTAGTTAAGTTCAAGCTGGGGTTTGAACTCAGGGTCTCAGTGCTGTCCCTGAGCTTTTTTGCTCAAGACTAGCAAAAAAAGCTGTGGCTCTACCACTTGGGTCACAGCTGTTTTTGGCATTTTGGTGGTTAACTGAAGAGAAGTGTCCCATTAGAGTCCTATCTGGGCTGGTTTTGAATTGTGATCCTCAGCCTCCTGAGTAGCTAGGATTACAGATGTTAGCCTTCTCATTTTTAAACAATATTTTTCTATTTATTTCATACTGATATTTGAACAAAGGACCCTGTACTTGTTAGGCAGACACTACTTACCATTTGAATCATACCCCACACCTTCCTTTTTGCTTTAGTTATTTTTTGCATAAACAAGACATAGCTGATGCAAAGAAAAATAGAATCTCTCCAGTTTTCCTGCCAAAAATTATCTCAATTCAGTCATGAGGGAGAAGCATAAAAGGGCCATTTTACAAAATACCTGACTGATATTCTTCAAAAGTACCAAGACTTGGGATGACTACAGAGACTTGTCACTGAGTTGCAATGTGTGATCCTTGATTAGTTACTGATCCAGAAGGAAGAGTTTTTATAAATCACATTACTGGGGCAACAGGCAGATTCTGATTATAAAAAGGTTAAATAATAGTGTCAGATTCATCTCAAATTTATTTTGGTAACTAGCTACGGAAAATACTCATTGTTCTTAGTAAGATATCTGGGTATTATTGGGGGATAGAATGGCTTATTCACTTGTCATATGTGTCAGACAAGAAGAATTACACATGAAGTATATGTAGATACAGTTAAAAAATGAAACCAGATAAATCTGAGCAAAGAATGTATGTGGTATTGCCTTTTTTTTCTTTTTGAGATCATATTTAGAGTAAAAGATTATCCTAAAGCTGGGCACTGGTAGCTTATGTCTATAATCCTAGCTACTGAGGAAGCTGAGATCTAAGGATCATGGTTCAAAGACAACCTGGGCAGAAAAGTCTATGAGACTTTTATCTCCAACTAACCACCACAAAACCGTAAGTGGCACTGTGGCTGAAAGTGGTACAGTGCTAACTATGAGCAAACAAGTTCAGGGATAATGCCTAGGCCCTGAGCTCAAGCCCCATGACCAACAACAACAACAACAACAACAAATTACGCTAAAAATCCTTGTATGCCAAAAATCACTTTGGCAAAGTTCCTAGGAAAGGGTTGTTTAAGAAGTACAATCTGAGCAAAGATAGTCAAGTTGGTGATGCCTGTCTCTTAACCATTTGTGCATTATTAATAAAATTGCAAGAATAAAATAAAAAAAGAAGTACAATCTGTTAACCTGTATTTTCACTATATTTATGGTATGTATAGTCATATCAGTACTTCAACAATCATTTTTGCCTCCTTTGCAGTTAAATTTCGTACTTTCTTTTGTCTAATTGCTTTGGCTGAGCTTCCAGGAATAGTAACACACAATGGTGATAACTGATTTTCCTGGTCATGAATTACTGAGAATGCTTTTTTTGGGTGCCAGTCCTGGGGCTTGAACTCAGAACCCAAGTGTTTTCCCTAAGGACTTTTTTTTTTTTTTTGCTCAGGGACAGTACTCTAGACCTTGAGTCACTTCTGGCTTTTTGGTGGTTAATTGGAAATAAAAGTCTCATGGACTTTACTGCCTAGGCTGGCTCCAAACCATGATCCTCAGGTGCTTTTTTTCATTGTTTCACATAATAAGGATGCCATGTAAACACTTATGAAAAATATAATCATTTTTAACCAAAGTGCCAAATACTACCTGTGATGCCAGAAGATAAAACAGTGGGGGGAAAAATCCATTTAGACCCTGTTCCAACTGTTCCAATCTTCCATTCTGAAGAGGGATGAAACAAAAACAAGTGCACTAACAAAAATAACTGCAAACCAGGCACCGGTGGCTCACACCTGTAATCCTAGCTACTCAGGAGGCTGAGAGCTGAGGATTGCGGTTCAAAGCCAGCCCAGGCAGGAAAGTCTGTGAGACTCTTATCTCCAATTAACCACCAGAAAACTGGAAATGGTGCTGTAGCTCAAGTGGTAGAGCACTTGCCTTGAGCTGAAGAGCTGAGGGATAGCGCCCAGGCCCAGAGTTCAAGTCCCACGAGCAAAAACAACAACGACAACAAAAAACCCTGCAAATTATACTGCAAGGTCAAATACTCAAGGCAATAAACACCCAGTGTGCTCTTCTACCTGTTGCCATAAAATATTTAATTATCTCCTCAGTGATTGACATAGAGGTGTTTCCAATCAGTTATTGCAATAATATACAGAAAGAAGCTCTTCTCATTTATGTCCACAAATCCAAGAGTAAAAGGCAAGTCGACAGGTAAGGAAGCCTAACTCCAGGAAGTTATATGAACAGAAAAGTCTGTAAAAGAGTGGTAACAACAGATACGGAGAGAAGTAAAGGAATCCAAGGGATGGCTTGGGGAAAAAAAAAAGGTTGGTAGAAATGGGAGATGCAGGAAAGAGAAAATGAAGAACTCCTAGATTTCTGACTTGAATAAATTTGGCGAACACTATGAGGAGAATAGCTTAAAAAGGAAACGGGCCAGGCTCTAGTGGCTCACACCTGTAATCCTAGCTACTCAGGAGGCTGAGATCTGAGGGTTGCTGTTCAAAGCCAGTCCGGGCAGGAAACTCCAAGAGACTCTTATCTCCAATTAACTACCAGAAAACTGGAAATGGTGCTGTAGCTCAAGTGATAGAGCACTTGCCTTGAGCTGAAGAGCTCAGGGACAGTGCTGAAGCTTAGAGTTCAAGCCCCACAACCAACATAAAAAAAAGGGGGGGCAGGGGGGACAAACAGATCTTGTATTTTGAGTAGGTTAAATTGAAAATACAAAAAGTCAAGTAGGCATCAATAATGATGAATGAGAAAGGAATCTGGAATGCTGAGCAAATGCCTGAACTACAGAACACATCTTTTTTTTTGGGGGGGGGTCCAGTCGTGGGCCTGAACTCTGGGCCTGGGCACTGTCCCTCAGCTCTTCAGCTCAAGGCTAGCGCTCTACCACTTGAGCCACAGCGCCACTTCCGGCTTTTTTTCTTTTTGCTTATGTGGTGCTGAGGAATTGAACCCAGGGCCTCAAGCACGCAAGGCAAGCACTCTACCGCTGAGCCACCTTCCCAGCCCAAACACATCTTAAAAAATAGATAAAGCCTCAGGAACTGATAATATTCTCAGCAAAAGCAGAGAGAGCAGGGAGCTGACGTGCATTAAAACAGGCAGAGAAGACCAAGGTAGTGTGTGGGGTGGGACGGCCAACTACTCACTGGATAGAAATGTTTTCAGAATTCAAGAGGCTTTCCAGTGGGGTTGCTGGGAGATTGAAATGCTACTTTGAAGGGATACAAGACAAGCACCGAAATATTTTGCCTGGAACTGGATATTAGAAACAGCCGGGTGTCAGTGGCTCACGCCTGTAATCCTAACTACTCAGGAGGCTGAGATCTGAGAATCGCAGTTCAAAGCCAGCCCCAGCAGGAAGCTCCGTGAGACTCTCATCGCCAATAAACCACTCAAAAAACCAGAAGTGGTGCTGTGGCTCATGTGGTAGAGTGCTTGCCTTGAGCTGAAGAACTGAGGGATAGTGCCCAGGCCCAGAGTTGAAGCCCCATTACTGACAAAAAGAAAAAAAAAAGAAGAAGTTAGTACTATGATCAAAAAGCAACATTTCTAATATACAAAGAGCTGAAGAGATATGTCACAAAAGAGGCAACTAATAAATGTGTGAAACATTGGTCACCCAAATATACAAATTAATGTGACAATGAGATACTATTATATGCTCATCAGAATGGCATTTAAAACCTA